CCCCGCCCCGCCCCGCCATAGAGACGCAGCGCGGCTAGAGAGTCCTCCGGCGCCTTCCGCGCGGCTGCGACTGGGATCCTAGCAACCGAGGGTGACGACGCGACGCGGCGCGGCGGTCCTGGGCGGCTACTGCGAGTCTGAATGCGCCGGGGGCTGACTGGTGACCCTGGCCGAGAAGAGGGGCTTCAGCAGACAAACCAGCAAGAGGACGCGACCCTTGGGGGCCAGGACCTGCGAGGGACAGCGCCGTGGTGGTCAGGGGGCGAGACGAGATGGCATCCCCAGCGCGGCGACCTGGCCGATCCCTGAGCCCGCACGGGCGAGCTCCCATCCTCCCGAGAGAGCTGAAGGGAGCCGCCGGAGGGCCGGCCGCTAGGGCTCCTCTGACGCCGGAGGAGATTAAACAGCGGAGGGCTGCACCGCTCAGTACCAGGAAGGTGTGCGGCCTCCGGACGCCCCGCACCCCGCGGAAGCCCGCATCGGGACGCTGTGCCCGAGAGAGGCCGAGCCCTGCCGCCAGCGCCTGTTCCTCGGTCGTCACCCTCGGTGACCTGCAGAGTTGCGCTAGCGGGCGCCTAGATCCCGAGAGCGTGTAAGTCCTGAGGGCGCGCTCCAGCCCCGCGGAGAGGGTCTCGGAAACGTGGGAAAGGTGCTCACCGAGCCCGGAAGAACCACCCTGTCTGTTTCCGCCGCCCTTCGTAGCTGCTGGAGTAGAATCTGTGTCATACACACTGAGTCTCACACCCAGACTGACTGCCGCTTGTAACGGGGTTCTGTCGTGCACGGGTCCGGTTTGCTCCTTTGGTATATTGAGATCGGATTGTTCAAAGTTGCAGGGAATGCAGTGTACACGGAAACCCACATTCCCCTTATTTACACCTAGCTCTTTTCCCGCTCCTGGCACAGTGCCTGCAACGTAATATGTGCTTGAAAAGATCTTTTCTTTTTTTTCTCATTGAGTTTATTGGTACATTTTAGGTAGACAGTACAGTTACATTCATCATTGGGATCCTGTACCTTTACATGACAGGTCTTGGTTCTCATTTTTTCCCCTCGTCGGTGCCCTCCCTTTACCCCTCCTTCCTCCCCCTTTACAAACACTTATTTTCCATTTTTGCATTTTCTCATATTTTTCTTTGAAAATATCTTTTCTGTGAACACCACTTGTGCCTTCTTAACTTTATTTCTTAGATTGTGATTAAGAACCGGTAAGGGAATGTCTCCTGTCCTCTTCCTTCAGGTTTGCGGAGACGGGTGCAAGTTCCCCTCCACCATCGGCATATTTTATACTTCTCCATCAGTGCCTGCCCCCAGAGAAACTAACGAAGAGGGAGAAGAGACTGAAAGGAAAGATTGTAGTGACCCTGAGCAAGCTGAACAACCAAATCCAAGAAGCTCAGACGAGGCGGCGCTGGCTGCTGGAGGAGAACAGGCAGCTGCAGAAGGAAAAGCTTCTCGTGGAAGCTGAAAGCAAATCCATTCTGGACTACCTCACTGAAAACAGTAAGCACCGCGAGAGAAAGTGTGAGGAGCTGTGGAAAGAGTATTTCCAGCAATACCAGGAGCTGGAGCAGAGGAAACAAGAATTAGCCTCCAGATATGAGAAAGAAACCTCAGAGCTGAAAGCACAGCTCTTGCGGGGCGAAAAGGCCCAGTACAAGTTGGAGCAGTGGTTGCAGACTCTGAGGAACATTGCCACCATCAAGGAGAGGCAGGACAGGAGAACACAGACCTTGCAGGAGCAGATAGACAGGGTCCCAGCAGAGCTGCACGTGAAGGACCGGGAGGCACACTTCCAGTTCCTCCAGCAGAAAGCCCTCCTGGAGCAAGAAATCAAAGAGCTGGACCTGGTGCAGGAGCAGCTGGGGAACAGAAAAAGAGGGAAGCTCGATGGGAAAGCCCAGGCCTTGGAGTGCACAGCGCAGAAGTCTCGTTTTGAATTCTGCCACAGCATCTATAGAGAAAACCAGCAACTGAGGAAGAAATTAATGCCTCTCCTTCAGGAAGCCCAGAGACTGGAAGCTCTTCAGACCCGGTTAGAAAACCGGAAGCAGCAGCTGAAGCAGAGACAGTGGTACCAGGAATCCGTAATGAGGGGGAGGCAACGACTACAGTCCAGGCGGGACTGGAGCCCAAAGGGACCCGGTGCTCCAAAGGCCACACCCGCACCCTCCCCTAGACTCCAGGCCAAGATCCAAAGGGACCCCGAAAGTAACAGACCAAACAAGAACTGGACCCTAAACTAGAAACCCCTCTAAGTTAGATGGAATACTCCGAGGCTGAAAGATTTTTGAGTTGTGCCATCTATTGCTCTGGCAACACCTGAAATTCTAAGAGGACAAAGTTACCTAATTATACCAAGCCCTCTACAGTAATTTTAGGGGACTTAGTTATCCTTACATGTGTATGCCATCGTTCACAAAGGACCTCTTGTCATTTATATAACCATATATTTATGCCCATTTAATGGAACGGAGCATAGCATTTTAATGTAGGCTTTTATTGATTCAAGTTGTACTTTTTGCATTTTATGGCAATAGAAGCTAGACCATTGATTTTACTGGAATATGAATCTTGGTGCAGCTGAGTATATTTTCAATTTTTTGTACCAGGGATCGAATTCGGGACTCTGCACTTGTGAGGCAGGTGGTATATATTTGGGGATTTTAACATTGCTCCTCTATGGAAAGATAGCCTCAACTGTGTTTGCCAGAAAAGGTTAGTGACGAAAAATTTCACAGTCTACTTTGTGAATTCTCAGTCTTATTTCTAGGTAAAACAAATTTATTGAAAACTGGACTAGGGGCCAGGGATTTAGCTCAGTGGCTCTGCTGCCTGCCTTGCAAGCACCAGGTCCCAAGTTCGATCCCTGGTACCAAACACAAATAAAAAAAAGAAAACTGGACTAAAAAGACTTCTCTTTCCATGTGCCTTTCACTCCTAGCTTTAATGTTTTTCGTTAAATATGTGATTTCTTTGTGTTATTAAAAAATAAAAAGCCTACTTCTGGTTATAATTTGTCTATCGATTTTATTATTGTTTCAATATGCTGAGTTATCTTCGTCATGACTGTCCTCTCTGATTTACCACCCCTGCCTATCAAATAATGTAAGTACTCCTTAATGCAGAAGTTCAGGGCCTTCAATAGCATGCAGTTGGCGTTTACTCGGTACTGTCATTTGTAGACTGAAAACAACTTGGAAAACATTGGTATCCAAGATCAATCTGAAACCCTATTCCCTGTGGCTAGGAATCCCCAAGAACTGTATCTTGGGCCAATAGGGGTCTAGGCCCTTGGCTTCTTACGATTCTGTGGCTCACCTGGCCCCATCACTGTCCCCAATATCTAATGGAGGAATGGATTACTTCCTTCTATCTCCCTGTATTTTCGTTTGTTATCATGCTGAACTATAGACCTTATATATTGCTCCTGGCTATGCCTTTCAGAGTGAGGGCCTAAAGACGGGAAAGGGTGAATCCTATCAGATCGGGCCCTTTGAGATCCACAGCCCCAGGTGGGCAGTGGGTTGCCAACTCAGATGCCAATCTACTTTTTGTGCGCTTT